TGGGAAGATCCCACATGCCGCGGAGCAACTGAGCCCGCGCGCCACAACTACTGAGCCTGTGCTCTAGAGCCTGCGAGCCACAACTACTGGAGCCCACGTGCCACAACTACTGAAGCCCGCAGGCCTAGAGCCTGTGCTCTGCCACAAGAGAAGCCACTGCAATGAGAAGCCCGCACAGTGTAACAAAGAGTAGACCCCGCTCACCACAGCTAGAGAAAGCCCGCACACAGCAACGAAGACCCAACGAAGCCATAAATAAATAAATAAATAAGAATCCGCCTGCCAATACAGGGGACATGGGTTCAAGCCCTGGTCCGGGGAGATCCCACATGACGTGGAGCAACTAAGCCCGTGCCCTTAGAGCCCACGCTCCGCAACAAGAGAAGCCACTGCAGTAAGAAGCCCGCGCCCCGCAATGGAGAGTAGCCCCCGCTCACCGCAACTAGAGAAAGCCCGTGCGCAGCAACGAAGACCCAACACAGCAAAAAAATAAACTAAAATCAGACGTTGGCCCAGGTGATCTTTATAGTCTCTCAGCTCTTAGATTCTCAAAGTTCCCTGATTCACTTGCTGAAGACCCTGGGGAAAACTTAGAAGCCTGCTAATCTGAACCTTCTCCAGTGATTCCTCAAGCCCCTGTCTCGTATCTTTTACCCAGTTCCATGTTGTTGTTTGTTGAGACACAAAAGCAGTTTTTGAAAATGTTATCAAAATAAGAAAACATTATTATTAGGCCAAAATTCTACCAGTAATAATTTTTAGGCAGACACCCAAGGGAGTGCTCTAGGCCTCCCTGTGACAGCAGAGTGGCCCTAGTAACCACTGTATGCTAGCCTGTGGGTGAAGTGTTAAGTCACTCCGAGCACACAGGACAGAGAGCGGAAAGGGTACTGACCTCCTTCCATGCTTCACTGCAAGTCAGCAAACATTACTGACACACATTTCTGAGCCAGGTGCCAAGGTGGGCACCAGGACGCAAAGATAATCGCCACTAAACCCAAGGAGCTCAGAGCCCAGGAGGGGAAACCCAGAGACTCCCAGAAAGCAGCAAAATAGAGATTGCATTCCGCTAAAAAAGCCAACCAGTACGGAGGGCAGGGAAAGGAGGGGCCAGGGATGTTACGCAACTATTTCTCTGTACTATCCTGGATAGTTCTAGCCGGCCGCCCAGCCAGCCTTACGCAGGGCTGTGTCTGCTGGGCCATAGTTACTTTCCACTGCAACTTGGCTGAAGTTAAAACTGAACAGGTGACTTGAAGGTGAAGGCTGATGATGGAAAAGATAGCCTCTTCCTTTCTCCCGTACCCAGCAGTCAGCCACACGATCCTCCGAAAAAAATAATTTGACTTTTTACAGAGTTAGGTGACCCCGTCCTTACATTGAAACAACCCCAAATGGTCAGGAATGGAAGCATTTAATCTCTCACGATGAGGGCGCCCAGTGCAGACAAACAGTGGGGCGCAGCCATAGTTTGGGTGACCTTGGGCTGGTCAACCTGTCTTCTGCTATAAACATGTGTCTGATATTAACTTCCCTGCAGTGCCGGGAACATGCTTATAAAGTGCAAAAGAAATATAAAAGCCAATATCAGGCATTCATCAGCAACCACCACCATGAAAGTGATACAGAGATGTCACTGACTGATTCAGAAACTTTCACCCTGGAAATTCCACCGAAATCGTACACTACTCTTTTCTAGCACAGAAGTAAACAGAGTACTTCCCTCTGTGGCTGCCTCTGGTCAGGCTCCCCTGTGCTCCATCACACCAGCTGCTGAGGAATTTACTGCCTGCTGACCAGCTGCTTGTAAGGAATGAGAGCCAGGGAGGAAGGTTTCAGGAGTAGACAGGAGGAGTGAAGGAAATCTCTCCACACAGACAGCCTTCCGTGTCACATGTCCTCAGGATATCAGAGCCATCAGGTCATCCTTGAAAGCTCCTGACACTCATTCTCTGCTCCACAGAAAACTTTATTGTTTACTGGACTGTAGAAAAAAATCCCAGTTCTTGTGGGTTCCCAGCAAACATTTTTTATTATGCAGTCACTGTACCACATCCCAAGGACTGAGGGAAACACCGCACACATCACCAGAGCATTTTCAGACAAGCTAGAATAAGCCCAGTCCTTGATCTCCGGCGCTTCTTACTGGAACGTTGCAAACTAAACAAACTCTGTGGAAAAACGCACTTCACATATGTGCATTTAAACATATGCACAGTCCAAGCAAACAGTCATATTCTGGTTCCATAAGGAGCAATCCAAAATAAAAGCGATACTTTCATTACTAGTGAAGACCATTAAATCTAATTACAGAGAAATACAGAGTGAGAAAAGAGGCTCCCGAAAAGAACTGCGGGGTAAACAATAAGGAAAAAAATGATATACAAACTACGGCTGCAATTTTTATGTCACATGTAAGACACTGTGCTGTCTGGGTTTAGGAATGATTCCATCCATGTGTGTAAGGAAAGGGCTGCTGTAGCCTCCCACTGGGGTACAATAAGGTGAGCACCTGCAGTACCCAAACATGAGCCCCTCAGAACAGGGGGCATATGCAGTCTCTTCAGAAGAGACATCGAGAAAAGTCACGGAAAGGCTTGTTTTTTGTTGTTTTCACCCTAAAATCACTATCTCATAGTTGGTCCAGGTTCTCCCCAGGTCAGATTTATTGCCATAGAGCTAAATACAATTTACTGATTTCATACCCTAGTATTTAGTTACCTCTGTTTGTGTTATGTAGTGTCAGATAAATTAGATCAGGCATACCGTAGGATTTTCCTGAACTCGTAGAATCAAATTTATACAGCAAAAGAAATTGGTTTTGAAGTATAAACCTACCTAACATCTTTACTCTGACACTCCCCTGCTACCGCAGACATACTGCTATCCCCAGATATGTACAAACACAGAAACCCGAAAGTTCCACCGGGCATTTTTTTGCGAGGCAAAAACAAAGAAACCCAACCCACCTTTTCAGTTCACATTAGCCCTAATTCAAACCCCATGAGCATCTTGCCGGATAAGAAACACTAACACCTGAGTATAATTATGAAACCCTAATAAGCAAACATGAGAAAATACTGTTTCCTCTAAACAGATGCTATGGAAAAGCCGTGTTAAAGCAGGAAAGGTTTCTCGAATTCTCCATAGATGAAGAAAACTGGTTACTTGTGCATTGTCTCTGCAGGGTTCCCTCAATGAACACAGTTAATGGGCCAAGCCACAAACTTCAGGAGCTTCAGCGTCTCACAGAAGCAAAAGGCTTTTCCATCTGGGTACTGATGGAACAGTGAAATGGAAGTGCACACCAAATGCAAGGACGGGGCAAAATAATTGGGGGAGATGGACAAATCAGTCTGCCTCCTCACGGTGGCAAACTTTACGACAACTTTCTAGAAGCAACAAACCGCAACACCACTAGCCTTTATAGACACACATATATATAAATGTACACACACAACTACTTGGAAGGTAAATGCTGTGTTTGCAAACATCCTTCACCATCTTGCATTTACAATACTGAAAACCATGGCCAGAAAGCTGGGAGATTTCTACTTTTAGCTCTCCTCTCTGCACTGTCAAACTGGGAAGGTCATTTTGTCTGGTCACTTAGGTAATTCTCCCTCTCTGCAACACGGGAGTTTTCTACTTTGGGATTGCTCAGCGTTCAGATGCATCAGAGTAAAATAACCATTCAGCGACTTTATTCACCTTGGTTTAAAGGGAAAAAAAAAAGAAAGAAAAGAAATTCATTGTGCAATGCCCAGGAAAAGCTGACACCACGACTGTCTCTCCGACAAGCGCTTGCAATTACAATGCGGGGGTGGGGGGAATCTGTCGGATCCGACTCTGTGAGCCCTTAAAAAAAAGAAATGATTCCAATCCCAATGGAGCCGGAGAACTTTTTTTTCTAAGGAGACCACCCCTCGGGAACAAAAGTTCCATTTCGGTCACATGTTGGGAGTACGAATAGGGACCAGGTTTTTTTAAAGGCGCACTAATTACGGGGGTGTTTTACAGTCCTGGAGACCACTCGGGCTCCTCCAGACCGACGGTGACTGGCATTTCATTGTCAAAAAGCAAAGGGGTGAGGTGAGGGCGCAGGAGCCGACAGGGCGCTCGGCGGGAGGGGGGGAGCAGCAAGGTTACACTAAAGGGTACGCTGCCGCCGCGAGCCGCGTCTCCTTCCCCGGCGCCCCAAATAATTTCCTGCGAACAGAGCGACTGCAACAGTCCCCTCACAACTGAAGAGCCCAGTACGACTGGCCGGGCCGGTGCAGCTCAAGGTTTTCCACCCCGGAGAGGGAGGGGGAGAAGATCTTTACCTTAATGCTACACTGAGCAGGAGTCTCAGACATGTCTCACAGCGAGAGAGATCAGGAAGTTCTCAGTTTTTTTCCACTTTCCTTTCCTCTCCCCAACCCAGAAACGCTCCACAGCCGGCCGGACGCGGTCATTTAAGAAGTTTCTTGCAGCATCTCTCCCGGCGGCCGCCCCGGGGGGCCGCGAGCGCGCGGGGCGGGGCGGGCGCCGGCGGAGTAGCCGCGCGGGGCGGCGGGGGCGTGGGAGCCGGGCGGCGCGGCGGCGGGGTCTGCAGGTCGCGGTGCGGCGCGGCGACCCGGGACGCAGCCCGGCCGGCCTCCCGCTCTCTCCTCCCACCCGGGCCGGCGCCCCCGCCCCCCGCCCTCCCGCCGCTCTCCCTCGCTCTCTCTCTCGAATGTTTTCCTTCCTGGAAGAGAGAAACTGAAAGGCAGAACTGAGAAAGCTCTTTGCTCATTGATCTTGAGAGTTTCAGTGCAGAAACTGACGTGAATTCCCAGCACTGAGCTCTGCCTCTTAAAGGAGCCACCAGGAAATAAAAGATCGGGTTACAGCCCCGCATCGGAGAAATAAAAGCCGGGCCGGGGTGGGGGAGGGGCGGCGGCGGGGGCGCGGGCAGAGGATCCCGGGGAGCGGGGCCGCGCGAGGCCGCGGCTGCTAACTAGGCGGGCGGCGCGGCCCCCGCCGGCCTGACGCGGGGCGTCCTAGGCTCCGCTGGGCCGCCGCCTGGCTCGCGGAAGACACGCCGAGAAACGTTCCATCGGGGCCCCAGAAACCTCAGAACAGGTTTTATTAAACGCCTCCCCTCCCCTAGCTCCGTCTCTTGGATACATTGAAAGGCACAGGGTTTCCCCACCCCCCGCCGAGCGCAGACGCAATGAAAATAATTATATAGGAAGGGACATTCCGGTAAGGACGCGGAATCCGAAGGAGGAAGTAAAACAATAGCCTTTGTTCTGCTTCTCGACCGCGGCCTCTTTAAGAGAATCCACCAGGAAATGGGAGATCGGGTTACAGCCCGCACCGGGGTAAAGGGGCGAGCTAGCGAGCGAGCGAGTCGCGGAGCGCGACGTCGGAGACAAAGCGGGGCGGCCACCGGCAGAAGCCCAGCCTGGCCGCGGGGGATTCCCCGCGAAGGTGGGCGCCCGGAAAAGAGGAGGCGCGCGCGCCCGCCAGGCCGGGGATGCGGGCGCTGCCCCAGCCGAGCACGCGTCCTGGAGAAGGAAAGGCTGTTGGGAGGTTATCAAAGGCAGTTGAGTTCCTTTTCCTGACCCCCCTTCCTCCCTGTTTCGAAATCCTCTGTCTTTTTAAAGCAATAGCGGCCGCTACCAACCGAAATAGGTGACTCGACTGCAAAGTTGACAGGACGTGTTCCTGGAGATAATACCCCTCCCCAGGACTGCTTCTCTGAAACCATCCTTGGCGGATGGGACGACCCCGGGATCCTGCCGGGGGAGGAATATTTGGTTGGAAAAACAATTGAGAGGAGGTTAAATCCTGTCGGGCTGAAGGTTCTAGCCTTGAGTACGTGCAGTCTGATCACTCTATGATTTTTATTGTTATTTATAGTCTCTGAAAATGCTCTGAAGTGTCCACTGCAGAAGGTTGAGAACATTATACTTATGTTTAAATTCTAAACCCTGCTAATACGTACGGCTTTAATGTGTGGATGTGTATTAAATTACAAATATATAAATACATATGTATAATGTGTGTCTATAGTATATACAGATAAACCAGGACAGATTTCCCAGACCCTCCCCATTACACGGATTTTTCCTACCCACTTGCCTTCATCTCTCCACATAATAAATTGTGTTCAGACTTCTTCACACGCTCATTCGAAGAACACTCTGAACCAGAATTTATTAAAGGGGTTGGAATGGGAAAAGAGTCCTATTGCTGGGATGGTGGGAATAATGGGATTTTGTGAGTCTCCGAGGACCTCAGCAGTCCATGTCACCTGGTAGTCCTGTCCTTCCCGAGAGCGCTCATGTCCACACCAGCTCTTCTGCCCTGGACCACCTGCTGCTCCCACCTCAACCCACACACACGCGTCTACTTTTGATCCCTCGGCTGGTGTTGCAGGCGTTGGTTCTGATGTCCCATTGCTGGGTTAAGTCCTGTAAACCTCTACATCCCTTACTTATCAGCATGATCTTTGGCAACTCACTCTCTCAGCTTGGGTAAAATGGGGTGGGGAATATTACCTATCTCCTAAGATTCCTGTGAGTATTTATTAAATGAGCAAATATGTACAAAGTGATGAATTATCTGAGTTCTAATTATATACTTTATCTGCTCAATGAACGTTAGCTACCATTATTTAACCTCAGGACTGAATTAACTCTCAACTTTGTTCTATCTCCTCGTTACCTTCTCCAGGTGACTCAACAAAAGTGGCGTGTAAAGGAGACTGTGTGTGGTTCCAAAGCAAACTACGCAGTAGCAGCTGTGGAAGACATTGCATTTAGCCAGGGGTTGGTGATTTCTTTCTGCAAAGGGCCCAATAGTGAATATTTTAGGCTTTGTGCCCCAAGAGACAAAATTGAGACTATGTAGATACTTATATAGCAATAGAGAAAACAAATATCTACAGTTTTGTTTTTATTGACAAAATATAAGGTGTAATAATAAGAGTTGTAATACAGGTCTAACAATGAGAGGAATGGAACTCTTTTTTTTTTTTTTTTAAGGGGGATAACATTTCACTTAGTTAAACCCCAGTTTAAACTAAATGTTCTCTATCATCAAAATTGACTGCAAATGTTTATCTGCTAATGGTGATCTGTCATGAGATTTCACGTATTTCATTTGGAAGTATCTTTTCATCCAGATAGGATCCTGCCAAATGTATCAATCCATGAGCATATGGTTTTACTTGAGCATACTTATTGCTTATAAGGCATTTATACAATTTTATTGGAATTCTATAAATTCTCTTGATATTTCCCCTTTAGCCTGTCATTACATTGCAGATTAATCACTTCCAATTGAAAGTTAGGTAGAAGTGCCTCAACTGCACAGTGAAGTGGATTTTAAATATGAAAATATCCTTTTCACTTGCATCAAAATCCAAAAACCACTGCTGGAACTGTAGTTTGAGTTCAGAAAATAGAACTGCTGCAAATGTGTGTTAGAATGGACATCTTGCTTCTTGTCTTAACTTTTGACCATATAGGAAATGTATAAAGCAGCTTTATATTATTTGTGATTCAAACAATGTTAATTGTGTCGAAATGATTTAACTGCAGTATAAGCTCCACATATAGCTATATTTTGCCTTGTAGTTTTAGGTTTAATTCATGAAAAACAGACTTGATAAAGTCTGTAGCAAAACTAATTTCCAAAACCACTCAGTAATAGTAGTTAAGGGAAGTTGTTTTCATTCACTCATTCCCATTTGTCAGGTGTTTCTCTATTCCTTGTTTCCTGACTTCTTTGGGGTAATTAGGTATTTTTTTTCATATTCCATTTAAATTCCTAGATGGTCTTTCTAGTGTTTCTTTTTTACATTAAATATAGTGGTTGCTCTAGAAATTACAATTTGCATCTTTAATTACCACAGTCTATCTTCAAATAATATTATTCTATCTCATAAATATATAAGAAACTTACAACAGCATAATTTCATTTATCCCTCTCCCATCCTTTATGATATTGTCCTATATTTTATTTCTACCTGTGTTACAAAACCCACCATACACTGTAGGGGGTTTTGATTTTTTTTTTAATATTGTAAATATGTGTGTATAATGAAGGTACTAAAATATGTCTCTTTTTAATCTGTCCAGCTATTTATCCTTTCTGGTACTTTCTTATTCCCTCTTGCAGATCTAGTATCATTTCTGTTTGGCCTCAAGAACTTCTTTGGCATTTCTTGTTGGAGATAAAGTCTCTCAGCTTTCTTTGTGTCAGAATGTCTTTATTTCACATTCATTTTTGAAGGATAATTTTCAACTGTGTATAAAATTTTAGGTTGACAGATATTTTTTTTCCTTTTGGCACTTTAAACATTTCATTCCATCTCTGTCTCCATTATTTTTAAGAGTCATTTGTAGTTCATATTTTAGCTCCCTGTGTGTAATGTCTTTTTTTCTCTGGCTGTCATTAAGACCTGGTTTCTAAACTTGGTTTTCAGAATTGTGACTAGGATGTGCCTACATGTGGGGTTTTTTTGGTTTGTTTGTATTTATTCTTCTTGATGTTGGCTACAGTTCTTGGACCTATAAGTTGGTATCTTTCGTCAGTTTTGGAAAATTCTGATCTGTTATCTCTTTGAATATTGTTTTCTGCCCATTCTTTGTACTCCTTTTTTTTTTTTTCCTGCAATGATACAAGTGTTAGACCAACTGACATTGTTCAATAGACCCAAATGCTCTATTGTATTTATCATTTTTTCTTTTTGACTTTCAATTTGGATGCTTTCTATTTATCTCTTTTCCAAGTTTTTTTCCTCCGTTATTGTCCAACTTACTGCTAAGCCTATCAAGTTCTTTACTTCTGATACTGTATTTTTAGCATTTCCATTTTTTAATATTCTCCATCACTTTTCTGAAGTTGCTCATATCTTTATTTATGGGTTCTACCTTTTTTTTTTAAAGTCCTTTAGCATTTTTGTTATAATGTGATAATTCTCAAATGTGAGGTTTTCTTGCTTAACTTCAGTTGGTTTCCTTACTTGACCATGAGTTACATTTTCTTGCTCTTTTGTGTGTGTGTCTTGCTATTTTTTACTCTATGCTGGACATTTTATGTAAAACTACATACATTTTCTGTAAAAATACAGTAGACAATGAATTAAATATTTTCCTCCAAAAAGGGCCACACACATTCTCCTGTAAGACCACTAGAATTGGAGCTGAGTAGCTATAATCTATCGTTGAGCTAGATGTGGGCTTTGTTGTAATTTTTCAGCTTGATTCAGTTCACCACAGGTTTCAAATATTTTGAAGGCAAGATCAGAACTTTTCCTATAAGCAAATACTGTCTTAGAGCTGTTATCTCAGCTGTTCTGCCTTGCTTGATGTCTTCATTAGCTATCAAGCCTTCAGGCAGGCTCTCCCTTCTCTCCTGCCCTGACCCTCAATTTTTCTTAGCTGAAGGCCTGGAGTGCCATGGGTTTTCTCTCAGCTCTCCCACCCTCTACAAGTCTTTCTTAACTAAAAGCCCAGTGTGTCTCTGAGAGCGTCTCTCAGCTCTTCTTCCCTGCCCTTCTGTTTATGGCCCTATCCCAGTAGTTAGTGAATATCAGTGGGAAAGAATAGTGAGGTAGTATAGTTGCACTCTGTGCCTGTGATTCCCCTGGATTCTAATCTGTCATATAAGCCCACCCACGGCCATTAAAATTTGTTAAAAGTTAGGCTGATTCCTCCTTGCCATCATCTATGGTGGAGTCCTATACTTCAGTCAGGGGTGAGAACCACTGTGGATCTTTTCTTTCATTTGAAGGATTGTCATTTTCTGAAACTTAATTCACTTAGGTTTCTTTGTGCTCTCATCTCTCTGATGGTTTTTTAAATTATAATTATGTAGATTATCTGGTTTGTTTTAGGTGTTAGGGAATGAATTATGGTCTCTTGTGACTTTCTACATACAAACTGGAAGAGGAACCTGAATGTCTAGTCTTTATCCTCCAAAAGAGTGATGAGGAGTGGCGAGAAGTAGGGAAGAATGAAGTTAAGAACCATGTGGAAGTGGATGTGCTTAATTAAAAAACATGGCCATTATTGTAGTATAATGTTATGTTTTTACAATGAAAATAATAACATTTAAAAAATATAAACTCCAAAAACAAAAACCCCACAAAAAAACACCATCCACATATCTCTGCCAAATCAGAATTCCTTAACCTAATGGGCATGCTTCTGTAAAAAGGATCTGTCATAACTGGTGGGGTGGGAAAGAAGAGGAGAAATGTTTCTGCTTATCCAAAGAAGACATGGGTTTTTAAATCTTAAGAGTCACTGCCTTAAACTATATATTTTCTTTACTATATCAGTCAGGGTGCATTCAGGCAGAATTACCTCCATGTGTGTGTTGTGGGAGTGTATTGTGTATATAGAGAGAGAGAGAGAGAGAGAGAATGATTGTGTATTTCTGATGGCATGCTGACTGATACAGTAAAGGAAGCATACATATATACAGCAGGCAGCTGGAAGAGCAGATCTTCCAGCTGGGTGAAACCAAGAAATCAAGAAATGGATGAAATCTATGCTCAACTATGGGTGAAACCAAGAAAAAGCTAGAACTCAAAAGCATGAGCTGGAGCCCATGAGAATGGACTGAAACCCACGTCAATCTCATTGCCTCTGACCTTGATGTCCTGGGTGTCCTGCGCGCGCGCACACACACACACACACACACACACACACACACACACACACACACACGCCTGGCTCAGGAGTTGCAGAAGCTGAAGGAGGATCATGGTGAAGGCGGAGCGGTCAGTGGCCCAGACACTGCCCCACACCAATGAGGGAGGCAACAGAGGAGTGACAATATGTGTGAGCTACAAAATATCTGCTGCTTCATTTCTACCTTCCAAGTCACTCCACACTCTCTCCTGTGTCCCACGCTAACTGGAAACATACAGAGAAGGGAATTCTGAGAATGTATTTCAATCTAGCTAAGTTGTCACGTTACAAAGTCACTACGCAAAATGATCAGCTTCCCATAGCCCTCTCCTGCTGTTATATTTTTAGAATTTTTCAGTTCTCTGTCACATCATCCCCCATCTAACCTTCAAACTATTGTATTCCATATGCCTTCTCCCTATGGCATCCCCATCTCTCTTAATAATGCCATCATATTATCAACCTCCAAGTTAATGAACCTCAAAATAATTTTTGACATGCTGCTCTCGTCTATGCCATAAATATCGTCTCTTCCCAGATCTTTCTGTCTCATTCACAGAGTCTCCCTTATCCTGCCAGCAGTGGCAACTCCAGTTTGGGTTATTGCCACTTCCTTTTTCCACGGAACTTGTATAGTTTATCTATAATCACTACTGAATCTTCTATCTCTGCTCAAATCTCTTACTTCATTACTCCCATTGCTATCCTCAGGCCTTGTCCCACATTACTCAAAACTCCACCCACACACACAAACTATGAAACTATTTGTTTTCTGTCAAGTAGAACCTGAAAATCACCTCCTTCATAAATCCACCTCACACTGTATAAATGGAAGGTATCCAAAAGATAAGGAGTTGGAATGCTGGAGTGGATTTATTATGTAAGAACTACCGCTCTCCCCTAATTATGACCTGGGAGGGTTCAGAAGACACTCCCTTCAACAAGGCTTTAAGTGGTGCATTGTTGAAGCAAACACCAGCACCCTTGCAGAGTCCTATAGTAGCCATTCTCTAAGCCATGAATGCTGCCGTTAGACTGGGCTCTCTGAATTCACTGGGGATGGTGGGATACTGGAGTGACAGGTGTCAAGTGACATTGCTTAACTATTTTAACTACCAGAGATAAGAAAACATGGTTATCATAATGGATAGCAAAGCTAAAGTGATAATTAATCACCATGGTTTGATCTTTGGTATTGGCTAATTTATTGGGATCTCCCTAGGACTGAAATTAATAGACATCCTATTAAAGTCTTACTTGACTTGTATACACAGAAAAGCTCTAGGTCCAGAGTCAAAAATTCTGACCTGAGTCCCAATAACAGACAGTGCTGGATCCTCAACTGAATCCCAGACTTGATTCAGTCCACATATAGATGCAGAGCCCCTTAAATTAAGGGGAGGCAGGTCTCCTTGAGGAAGAAACCTGCTACACTGCCAAAAATGTATGCTGTAAATCTTCTACCCACCCTTCCCCACAGGCACATGTGGCCACCTACCAGTATGGTTTTGCATCAGGGAAGGGGGAACAACGAGAATTGGGGGCAGTTACTGCACACTGGCTCTGAATTAACACTGATTCCTAGAAACCCAATAGGTGGAGTTTTGACTTGAGCCCAATTCACAGTGGGCTTGGTGGATACCCAAACCCACCCCACGATTATTTTCCCAGTTCTGAAATGCAGAGTTGGAATTTACATATTCATCAAATGGCAGAATCCCTGCAGTGTTCCCCAAATTATGAAGTGAGGGGTTTATGATAGAAGGCCAGAAAGAAGTTCCTAGAATGGCTTTTACTTGCTAAAATAGTAAATCAAATGATATAGCATTCCTGGAGGAATTACAGAGATTAGTGCCACCATAAAGTTCTTAAAGGATGGAGAAGTGGTGATTTCTACTACATTCCCATTCATTTCACCTATTGGCCTGTGAATGAGAGCTAGGTCTTGGACTTCCCTGGTGGCACAGTGGTTAAGACTCCGCCTGCCAATGTAGGGGACACGGGTTCAAGCCCTGATCCAGGAAGATGCCGCGGAGCAACTAAGCCTGTATGCCACAACTACTGAGCCTGCACTCTAGAGCCCACGAGCCACAGCTATTAAACCCGCGTGCCACAACTACGGAAGCTTGCGTGCCTAGAGCCTGTGCTTCGCAACAAGAGACACCACCGCAATGAGAAGCCCGCGCACCGCAACAAAGAGTAGCCCTCGCTCGCCGCAACTAGGTAAAGCCTGCGCGCAGCAATGGAGACCCAACGGAGCCAAAAATAAATTAATTAATTAAGAAAAAAGAAAAAGAGATAGGTCTTGAAGAATGATGGTGGGTTATGGTGAACTTAATTAGGTCATAACTCCAAATGCATCTGCTACTCCAAATGAGATTTCCTTATTGGAGCACATCAGTACAATCCTTGGTACCTAGTATGCAGCGCTTGACCTGGTGAATACTTCTTCTCTTAATTCCCATAGTAAGGACTACAAAAAGCAGTTAGCTTTCAACTGGTAGGGCTGGCAATACCCTGTACTGCCCTATCTCAAGCCTATAACAACTCTACAGCCTTCTATCGTCATCTAGTCTGAAAAGACCTTGATTGCCTCTCCATTCCACAAAATATTGTTTTGGTCCATTACAGTAATGACAGCATGTTGACTGGACCTGACGAGCAGGAAGTAGCAGCTATCCAGAGGGTGAGAATAAATTTCACAAAAGCTTAGGGGCTTTCCACCTTAGTTACTGCCTCCTCTGATCTGGGGCATGGTCAAGATATCTCTAGTAAGGTGAACAAGTTGCTGGATCTAGGCCTTCCCACTCCAGAGAAAGAAGCACGACTTCTACCGCGCCTCCAGGTTTCAATGGGACCTCACGTAGGAGAAGACTCTGCCACAGGCCCAAGCTGTGTGACTGCTCCTCTGCCCGTTGAGCCCTTTGATCCAGAAGACCCACTGAGATCTGAAATGCCCATGACAGATAGGGATGTTGTAGGGGCCCTTGGCAGGATTATGTGAATTACACTGCAGACCTTTAGGACTCCGGAGCGAAGCTATGCCATCTTCTAAAGATAAACATTCTCCTTTTAAGAAACAGCTTCTGGTTTGCTACGGAACCCTAGAAGAGACTGAATGCTTGACTTTGGACTGCCACGTTGTCATGGAACCTGATCTGCCCGTTTTGAATGCGGTGTTGTTTGACCCGGGAAGCCACCATGCTGGGCACGCACAGCAGCGCTCCGACTTGAGTGGAAGTAATATACGCGAGTTTGGGCACAAGCAGGTCCTAAAGGCATGAGGAAGTTACCTGAGCCACTGGCTCAGATCCCCACGGCTCTTACTCCTGTTAAATCGCCTCCTCTCTGTCAACCCACACGTACGGCCTCATGGGAAGTTCTCTATGTCGAGAAAGTTCTGCTAAGGACGAAAAAGTTCAGGCTTGAGTGCAGATGGTTCTCAGGCACCATGCTGCCAGCATCTGCAAGTGGACAACTGTGGCAGTACTGCCCCACTTAGGCGTGGCTCTAAAGGACAGTGGTTACAAAAAATCCCTCCAGCAGTCAGAGCTGGTTATGGATTTACCTTTTTTGTCTGCAGTGCTTCTGAAAAAACCACCGTTTGTGGACTTACAAAATGCCCTATACATCCTCAGAGTATTCCATACAGTGTCACTTGTGAACAGGAAATTGATTTTATACCAAGTAAAAGACAGCAATGGGCTCGTGCTTATGGAATTCACTGGGCTTATCATGTTCCCCATCATTTTGAAGCAGTTGGCTTGATAGGGTAGTGGGATAGCCCTTTGAAGACTCAATTGTGGTACCAGATGGGTGGCAACACTTTGCAAGGCTGGAGTAACTTCTTCCAGGATGCAATAAATGCACTGAGCAGGCAACCACCATATGGTGCTTCTTCTCTCACTTCCAAGAATCAGGAGGTGGAAATGGGATTGGCCCCTCTTGTTCTGAACTCCAATGGTCCACTAGTAAAAATGATACTTCCTGTCCTCTGAACTGTGTGCTCTGTTGGTTTAGAGATCTTAATTCCCAAAGGAAGAGTGTTTTCACTGGGGACACAGCAGTGTTTCTACCAAAGTGGAAGCTGAAACTGTAACCTTGACATTTTGAGCTTCTCGTGCCACTGAACCAACCAGCCAAAACAAAAAGGCAGCTTAATATATTAGCTAGTGTGACTGATCCCAAATCCTCAAAGGGAAATTGGGTTGCTACTACACAATGGGAGCAGGGTGGAGTAACTCTGGAATTCAACAGATCCTCTGGGGACACCTCTTCATATTCCTATGTACTATGAAAAAAAGTTGACAGAAAACTACAACACCCCAATATAGCAGGACTGCAAATGCTACAGATCCTTTGGGAGTGAAGGTTTGGGTAACCCACCAGGAAAGCTGAGGTGCTTCCTGAGAGCAGAGAATACTACCTGGATAATGGGAAAAGGAGTTTAATAAACACCAACCATGATCAGCTGACCAATTGCAGAAATGAGGGTGGTAGTAGTTTTGAGTGTATTTTCTCCTTGGTATGAATGTGTGTGTGAGGTGAGGTGGGCAGCTGTTGCCTCTGTCTGCAACACACACGCACCATTTTTTCTTTTTTTCCTCTCCCATTTCTCTACCATCTAACATAAAACATTAATGTTTTAAGTTACAGGATATTAAAAGATGAGTGAGGTCCAGCTGTAGGACAAATGGACGTCACTGAAAAACAGATCCCATGTGTGGATTGTTTTGGGTAGACGATCAGTGCCTTTTCAGTTGTATGAGGGGTAGTTACATCTTAAGTGGAAACATGATTTTGCTATTATCTGTATTTAGAAGTGGTTGAAAGAAGATGTATGGCTGCCAAGTTGGGAAACGGCGGACGACTCTAAACTGTGCTGCTCTTTTCCAGAATCCCCTTTTCCTTATGGTTCTGAGTTACAGTCGGCTCTAGGAAAGCCTGCGTGAAATCTGGAAGGCAGAACTGAAGTAGTGGCTTTCAAAAGTTTGCTGCAGTCAGATATGGCGGTGGTTGGATACAGAGGTCACCACTGGATTCCAGCTGGTCCTTGCTCTTAAATTCCGTGATTTGCCCACAGAGGCAACAGCTTCCCACGGATTTCTCCACAAGCTCCCTTTTAGAGGCTCATTTGGGCAGCTGGCTATGATTGGCCTCTTGGGTTTCCCTGCAAGCTTCAACGTGTCCACCTGTGCCAGTGTTTCCAGCTGATTATTGACTGCTTATGGGTATAGTCCACGTAGGAGAGACGTGATAAATGCTTAATTTAATTTTTTTTCTCTTTATTTACCTGTTCTCAAAATAACGAACGGTTCTCGATCATCTTCCCAAGGTGACCTACTAGCTTTTTCCCCAAGTGTTTAAACTCATAGATTTACACATGTTTGGCCTGTTTTAATGCACTGCAATTAGCGCCTTTAGTGAGGTCCTAATTGTTCATCCTTGATCATCTATCAAGTTCTAATATATAACAGTTTCATTATCATTTCTTACATAGTATTCTAAGATTCCCATTATTATTTCTCCTTTCACACATGCATTATTTAAAAGTGAGGTTTCCTTTCAAATTTCCGAAAGCATGGAATTTTTAAACTTGTCTTAATTGACAAGTTTATTGACAACTTCATTGCATTTCAGTTCAAAGATGGTTGTCGCTTGATACTGATACTTTGAAATGTGTTGAGATGCTTTATGTCCATGTACAGTGGCAACAACTTTTTCTATAAAAAGCCAGATAGTAAATACTTTAAGCTTTGTGGGCCATAGTCTCTCTTCACCTTATCAATTTCTACTGTATGTAATTTGATGCTATTTTACTAGGTGCACATAAGTTTAGAATTTTTATGTCTTCCTGGTGAATTGGGCTTTTAAAAAACTATTATGAGTGTCCTCCTTTATATTTATTTTTTTAATCTTAACGTCTATTATTTCTAATACAAATATAGCCGTATCAGCTTTCTTTTGTTTGATATTTGCCTCTTTATCCCTTTTTGCCTTTTTATTTTTAAGCTTTATTTGTTCTAACATTTTTGATGGCTCTCTTCTGAACATCATATAAGTAGATTTAAGAAATCCCTTCTGACATGACCTGCTTTTTTACTTGTGAGGATACTCCATTTGTGTATTGTAATTTATAGATTTCTCTGGACTTGTTTATACCATGTTATTTTACATTCCTATTTGTCCCATTTATTTCTCTGTTTCTTTTTTCTCCTTTTATGGTCATGATTGGCAAACATTCCTTGCACTGCCCTATATGAACACTGCCCTATATGCCCTATAAGTTTAGGGGAGGCAACGTGAGAGTAATCCTGTGCAATAGGAATGAAAGTGACGTATCACCCTTTGTCAAAGTTGGAAACGGTCAGAGTTTTCCATGTGTTCTTTTATGCTGTTGCAACAACTTACAGCATGCCAGATGGCGAAGCCTTCATCCATCAAGCCCTTCAGTAGCTGCAGAGCAGGGTCTCCTACCAACCTGCGTTGCTGGGAAGTAGGAGAGAGAAGCCAGTTTCATTTGTGTTTTGTCAGTGAGATAGTGAAGTTGATTTATCATCATAGCATAAAGTAGCCTATTGTGGCTAATATGTCACTGTAAAATCTTTGCAACGATTGTGTTTATTTTTTCCTTTTTCAATTTTTTTTCCCCTTGGTTTGGAATGTATTTGGTCTCTTTCTATTTATTTTGTATTTGTGTGTGTATATGGGGGGGGCAGTGCTGGAGATTTCCATTACTGCTTGGTAGCCCAGCTTGGCATTAAAAGTAGGTTTTATTCAGGATATAATTGTTTTTATTTGTACTGCTGGATCCTTCAGAATGTCTGGGGCACCACACTCCTGCAAGTGGAATCACATCCTTCTTGCAAATACACAGACGCTCACCACCAATCTCCTGTCACATATGACAGGCTCATAGCCCCTAAGCCAAAATGCTTTGGCCAGATGTGTTTCTGAATTCAGATCTTTGGGATTTAGAAAGGTAATGTAGTAGACCTCTGAATCAAACATTTAAAGGATTCAGCTGCCAAACATGTGAATATCCAGAACAAATAGGATAAATCCAGATAATCAAGTAGCCTCCAGCAGTTCACATCAGATTCTTCCACCAAATTAGTTATGAAAAAATTTGTTTCTCATGGTTTTCTGGAATTACAAATAAGAGATTCTTGATTCATATTTCTTTAAATAGGTTACAAAGTAGTTATTGTTTTGTTAGTGGCATTCTAAATAGTTCTAAGGATGAATTCTGGCCATTTTAGGTACAATTACTGTTTTCCAAGGCTCTTTGGCAACAATGCATTTCGTATTTTTGTTTGTTTCCTTGCTTTTTGGCCGTGCCACGCAGCATGTGGGATCTCAGTTCCTCAACCAGGGGTCGAACCCACACCCCCTGCGATGGGAATGCAGAGTCTTAACCACTGGACCGCCAGGGAAGTCCCAAGGATGCCTCTTTTCTCTTGTGATACATTATTGCTGTGTTGTCAGAAACACTTAGCAAATTTATGGGACCTCCCTGGTGGTCCAGTGGTTAAGAATCCGCCTTCCAATGCAGGGGACATGGGTTCGATCCCTGGTCAGGGAACTAAGATCCCACATGCCACAGGGCAACTAAGCCTGCACGCTCTAGAGCCCACGCGCCACAACTAGAGAGCCTGCGTGTGGTGACTACTGAGCTTGCACACTCTGGAGCTAGCATGCCACAACTAGAGAGAAGCAAAAAACACTTAGCAAATTTAAATTTTTAAAAAAAGATTTAAAATTCTGTTAGCAAAAACAGATATAGTACAGTATACTTAAAGTTTCATGGAAGGGGGGCTTCCCTGGTGGCACAGTGGTTAAGAATCCACCTGCCAATGCAGGGGACATGGGTTCAATCCCTGGTACGGGAAGATCCTGCATGCCGTGGTGCAACTAAGCCTGTGTGCCACAACTACTGAGGCTGCGCTCTAGAGCCCGTAAGCCACAACTACTGAGCCTGTGTGCTGCAACTACTGAAGCCTATGCACCTAGACTCCGCAACAGAAGTAGCTACTGCAATGAGAAACCCACACACCGCAATGAAGAGTAGCCCCCGCTCACTGCAACTAGAGGAAGCCTGCGCACCAAAGACCCAACACAGCCCCCCGCAAAAAATGTGGTTTAGGGACTTCCCTGGTGGTCCAGTGGGTAAGATTCCTTGCTTCTACTGCAGAGGGCATGGGTTCCACTCCTGGTGGGGGAACTAAGATCCTACATGCCGTGCAGCATGGGCAAAAACAAACAAACAAAATGTGGTCTATACATACAGTGGAATATTATTCAGCCTTAAAGGAGGAAGAAATTATGACACAGTCTACAACATGGATGAACCTTGAGGACATTATGCTCAGTGAAATAAGCCCATCACAAAAAGATTCCGCTTATGTGAGGTACTTAGAGGAGTAAAAATCAGAGAGACAGAGAGTAGAATGGTGGTTGCCAGAGGCTGGGGGAGGGGGGATGGGGACTTACTGTTAAACAGGCAAAGAGTTTCAATTTTATAAGATGAAAAGAGTTCTAGAGAGGGATGGTGGTGATGGTGATGCAGGGGTTACTGGCATGGTCGTGGCTAGCTCATAGGGTACCTTTGTGTGAGTTACAAAAAGGCACCGCCTCCTGTAACACAGGGTTTGGTGAGGGAAGCATGGACTAGACTTCAGCCTCCATCCACTCCCTCTGCATGGTGCCACACAAGTGAGCCCTTCTGTGTAGGGTACAACCTACACAGTCAACACAGTGGCCCTGGCTCCTGGGACAGAAAATGGATTATGATTAGGGGGATGGGAGAGGAGCTAATCTCTACTCATGCACAAAAAGATGGGGCAGAGAAGCAGGATGGAAAAGGTCTCACCTGTGGGGAAGGACGTCTTCAGTCCTGGAAGAGACTCCATACAGATTTTGTAATTACTGATACAGACGGTCTTGCCTAGCCAACCTGCAGATTTTCCTTCCTGTGGGAGAACATTCTTTAGCAAAGAGGCCAGTATAGTCTCTATTCATTTTATCACAGGCTCCTGGACTGTTCCCCCACTCCACCTCCCCTGCTACTCCACCTCCCCTGCTACTCCACCTTCCCTGCTACTCCATTTCCCCTGCTACTCCACCTCCCCTGCTACTCCACCTCCCCTGCTACTCCACCTCCCCTGCTAACACTGCTCCCAATTACACTAAGATGATCACTAAATCAGATCAACTTTCAGAGATCTCCTTCCTGACCTTGGAGGCTTTTCTGCTCCCTTCAAAAATTTCCCTACCTATTAGATGACACCTGTAGCTTCTTTCACAGATGACAGAACCTTTTATTCTAGAATTCATTATGAAAAACACAATGAAAATGCCTGGTTGACATAGCACATCATGAAGTTTATTCATACTTCAGTGTTAAGAGTCAGTGAATGAACCAACATAACTGACTGACAAGGAAAAGAAATTAAAGAGCAGATCCCTGGAGGCCAAGAGGGAAGACCTAAAGAGGATGCTATGGAGAACGAGCTGAACTCTCTCGGCTCTGCAGGCTTGTTCATCTTCAACGATGCTGGACAAAGAGAAGCTGATTATGGGGTTGGTTTTTCTTGTTTCTTTTGCTTCTTTGCTTGTGTGTTTGCTTTTGTTTTGCTTTGCTTTTTGTTTTATAACTCAAAACCTTTGAGCCCTATGACGCCTCTAAAACTTCCAATGAGCCTTGAAGATTTTATTTTTGTAAACACGAGCACCATTAATATAAAGGAGCTCATTATAAGGTAGTTCATTAATTTTTTTTTTTAATGTAGAACTTCAACACCGAAAGGAAGGAACCCTTCTTCCCTTGTCTGAACACTAAGCCTGTGTGTGCACATGTATGTACCCTCATAGGGAGAATACTGCTGATGCATATGTGTCTGTCCTCGTCTTGCCACCTGCGGTCTCTAACTTTGCTTCAACTCACTTCATTTCATTGTTGGAAAGCTCCTTGCCTGTGCATGATGTTCTCACATCTCATAAAACTGAATGGTTAACCAAATACTTGCATCATTCGAAACAAATAATCATGTCCTGTCCTATTGAATATCTTTTTAAAAGACCTTTCATGCCAGCTACTAGGGTAACCCAGCTCTTTTTCCTCTTTTGCTTGGAATTAGTTTATAGCCATAAGGAACGTAGAGATCATCTGGCTGGTGGCTTTCTCAGTGGTTCTCAAACTTTACAGGTTTCTCAGCCAGAGGGCTTGTTACAACACAGACGGCAGAGCCTCAGTAAGTCTGGGATGAGCCCTAAGAATTTCCCCCCTGCTGCTGCTTTGAGAATCAGCCCAAGGCCCTCACTTCACGGCAGGGGAAGTTGAGCCTTAGACAACTGCAGGGTTTGGCCCAAAGTGACCCAGCCCATTAGTGGCAGAGCCGGGACCAGCACCAAATTCGCATGCTAATTACACACGTATTCTATTGTTTCTTTTTAAATCTTGGTTCATTTTTCTTTCAAGAAAAACTTTTGCTGAACCCTTAAACATCAACTTCTTTTTTTTTCTTGCAAAGCTTTATTCTTTCAGATAATTGTTTTGATCTCCTGTTAATAATTTCTCAGGAAACCCTGAGAAGCCACCTCTGTTTTTCTTCACACATTTTTTTTTTCAAATAGATAAATCCGAAGAAGAAATCTCTTATAAATTCGAATTATTTTTTCTGATCATTTGGATTTTGGAGTCTCTGCTTTGGGCAGCCTCCTCTATTCTGTCAGCTGCTGCTTTCCGGGAATGTGAACGTCTCTAGAGGAGCAGATCAATTCGTTGCCTCCTTTGGTCTTTCTCCCCACGTTACCTCATCTCTTCAGGTATACTTCTCTCGTTTGTTTTTATTCCACATAGAATGTCTCTGTTCCTTCACTCCCTCCCATCATTCCCTTTCGACGTCTCTTGAGTTTCAGTTAGTGAGTTTCTAACTTATCCTCTGGCTGACATCATCTTTGTCCCTTCCTCAGACTGTGTGCTTTCTTGCCAAATCTCTTTGGGAAAAACCACGGGGATGGAGAAAGGAGTGCACGGAAACATCACCAACATATGTGTTATATTAGAAAAAGTGGTGTGGATGGATGAGTCACTTGGCTTCTCTGGCCTCACTTCCTCAGCTGTAAAAAAACGAACAGGTTGGTCTAACAAGGGCTGCAAATGCAAAACTGCCAGCAGAGTCCAGGCAGGATGTGTGGATGAATTGAAGCAAGGCTGCCGGAAGCTGGGGAGTATGTACAGTGTCCCAAGGGCATAATGGCCGCGAGCTCTAGTCACAGCCATGGAGAAATGCTGGCTAGTCAGGGTTGCCAGATCTTCCGATTTTTCAAATCTAGATTTTTAAAGAAATAATGTGAACTCTCCTTATTTTAAATGTTGACAACTAATTCTAATTATGAGCCAGATAAAACACATTCCCTTTGTGGGCCAGATTTGGCCCTAGGCTGTCAGTCTGTGACCTTCAGATGAGATGGGATCTTTAAGTTCCTTGCAAGTCTAACATTTCATGACTCTTCAGTAATACATTTTAAAACAAACTAGATCTCCCTGGGAGATCCCTAAACTGTTTCCTTGCCGTTTGTGTTTGGTTATCAGACTGTTAGTCTCCAAAGTGAACACTCTGGAGTTTGCTGTAAGAGGAAGATACAACGTCTTCCCCTGCCTCTAGCGTAACGTAACCACGTGTTTTGCTCCCAGATGCTTAGGCTCAGAATCAGCTGAGTGCACGTGCTCTCCTACAATGCCTGCTATGGCGCGCAGGTTGGTCCTGGGGTAGGCAGCCTCCGTGAAGCAGAGCTCGTGCCTCTGTCCCTTTGTCTGGAGGCAAGATCTTAGCACTTACGTATATCCTATGTAATGTACTACTGCAGATCAGTCTAACTAGGAGGAAGCCGAACAATCAAAGACTTGAGGTTCAGAAGCCCAGGAAATGAATGGCAGCTAACAGTAAAAAACGGAGACATTGCCTCAAGATGGCAAAGCTGAAGAATATTCACGAGATCCTGCCTTATCCTATTTCACACCTTCTTTAGAGATTGCCTGCAAGGAGAGCCTTTGGTGGGGCCCTGCAGGCCAGCCTTCCCTGGACTGGGACTCGTCTGTCAGAGTTCTTCTCTGTCTTACATCCAAAAACTGGCACGTTTTTCTAGTGAAATCCTGGCTGGCTGGCGTTACTTCTCTTGTCACCCTTGGTCATTCAAGAGGAGGACCCATTATATCTTCCCTGTAGCCGGCCCTTGAGAATCTTCACTTTTTGGTGTTTCAGTGGAACAATGATGCTTTAAATGACCCACAAGATTAGAAAGAAAATAAGGCTCAAGGGCCAATGACATTAACAAGGAGGAAAACCCTTCTTAGCAAGTTAAGAGTTTCTGTGAAACAGTAGCAGAAAGTATTACAGCTTAAGTTAGGAATCCACGCATTATACAATAGGGAAATATTTCTCAAACTGCAAGTTCTCTATAAGTATCTTTAATTTTTAAATTTTTGATTATATAAACCATATGTAATATGGTTTAAAAAGTATGTTTTGAATCATTTGATAACCTTTTAGCCAAGGACTGGCATGTAGATTCAGGTAATTCATTTATATTTATGATTATATTGTTACCAGCTATCATCAGTAACTTCTAATTCAGTATTTCTCAGGCATTTCTTCAAGAAATCTTAAGGCTTTGTGAATTATAAGATGGAAAAATAATTGGTGTATGGGTAAGAATTAGGCCTTGGAATGAGGCATGTCTAGGTGTTATGTAACTCAGCAGGTGTTTACCATGTTGTGTGCAGAAGGTTAGGGAGGTTAAACACCTGCTGAGTTAAAATATGCTTGAAAAGTACTCAACACAGTGCCTGGCCTATAGAACCAATAAAAAAAAAAGCAGACTACTACTATATGGTTATTATTACCATTGCTAGCTACTTAAAAAAATTTTTACCATCTATTCTTTTTTTTTTTTTTTTTACTGTGTGCGGGCCTCCCACTGTCGTGGCCTCTCCCATTGCGGAGCACAGGCTCTGGATGCGCAGGCTCAGCGGCCATGGCTCACGGGCCCAGCCGCTCCGCGGCATGTGGGATCCTCCCGGACCGGGGCACGAACCCATGTCCCCTGCATCGGCAGGCGGACTCCCAACCACTGCGCCACCAGGGGAGCCCTACCATCTATTCTTGATTTTATTTTCATCATAGATGTTTCATCTAATATTTCAAAATAACACACAGGCACAGACTTAGAAAACAAGGTTGTGGATAGCGATATGTTATGATCTGAGGAACCCTCTGATGAACTCCTTAATTATATTATCTTCTATCTATCTATCTATCTATCTATCTATCTCATTCCAGGTGAAAAAAAATCTTCCATCAATTCTCTCCTCCCACAAAGCCTAGCTTTTTAAAATTTTAAATTTTAAAATTCAATTATTTAAGCTACACTAAAGAAACAAACAGGGCTTCCCTGGTGGCGCAGTGGTTGAGAGTCCGCCTGCCGATGCAGGGAACACGGGTTCGTGCCCCGGTCCGGGAGGGTCCCATATGCCGCGGAGCGGCTGGGCCCGTGAGCCATGGCCGCTGAGCCTGCGCGTCCGGAGCCTGTGCTCCGCAACGGGAGAGGCCACAGCAGTGAGAGGCCCGCGTACCACAAAAAAACAAAAACCAACAAAACCCCAAACAGTTCATTCATTTCTCCCAAGCCTCTGGCAACCACTGATCTGGATCTATGTGTTTAGTGTGGTTTCTTTGTTTGTTTTTATTTATTTTATTTATTTTTTGGCCGTGCCACACGGTATGCAGGGATCTTAGTTCCCCGACCAGGGATTGAACTCATGCCCCTTGCAGTGGAAGCACAGAGTCTTAACCACTGGAACGCCACGGAAGTCTCTGTTTCTGTTTTTATATTCCACATGTAAGAGATATCAAATGGTATTTGTCTTTCTCTATCTGACTTATTTCACTTAGCATAATGCCCTTGAGGT